GCAGAAATATTCAGAGCAGGGCTGTCAGTTGAATAAATTAGTCAATTATATAATTAGTGGATTAATTCATTTGATATATCACTATTTGCTGAGAAAAGTCAGGTCATAAAACATTGAATGGACATGAAAAGGTAGCTTTAGAAGTTAATAAAGTGTTTATTTATAAGTGCACATACACATTCTGACGCCTCTGCTGTTTTGAATAATAACCTCCAAAAATGTGTTCTCAAAAATGGTTGTGTATGAAAACCTTTACTCTCAGCTTTGAGAAAATCTTGGAGAGTTTCAGATTGGTTCTGCTTGGTTTGCTCACATGGCTCCCAAAGTGGCTTATCACAGCATTCATTAATTTGTCACATGTTTCAGCTGTACTTGTTGAGCTGTTAGTCAGATGGAGTATGTCTCACTGAGCACAGGCTGGGTGATTGTGTGTTGAATGCTGACTGCTGCCCCAGTGCTTCTACTGTCAACTTTAATCTTGTAGTCTCTGTACTCATTGTCCCCAGAGTGCACTGCTTGTCCACAGAGTGATGTCATTTGTCCTGACTTGCTGTCCCTTAGAGACAGTGGCACAGAAACACCAGTAGTGTTTTTGGCTTTCTCTTTTCTTCTTTCTGAAACGTACTTTTTGGCCTGCCTGTTCAAATCTACCCTTATTTGCATGTGCCAATGACGAGTAAATGTAGAAAATCTAATAAAATCAATCATAAAATGTTTTTATTGGCCATGCAACTTCATATTGTTTCCTTAAAATATAGTTCTGTGTCTATGACTGTATATATTTATAGTGGAGTTATGAAAACAGTAGAAAATTCTGTTTGGTAAATTTTCCTTTAATGTAAAAGCTGTTAGAAGATACACAACAGTAAGATTTTCCTCCCACAGGGTAAAACAACTTCCCAAAAGTTTCTTGATAATTTTTGGATTTTACCCACACCTTGTCACACTTGTGGTGTTCACAGAAAAAAAAAAAACAGCCTACAAGAAATGGCCTATACATTTCTCATTATGCAATATTATTTGTAAATATTGGATTCAATCTATTTATGAGCTGCTTTTCTTTTACATTTTCACAGGTTTTATATTTCTTTTTGGAACTAATTGATTGTAGGCATCATTGATCTGACCTTAGTTTTTGACTAAATATTGCCAAAATTATCTATAAATAATGTTTTTCTTTTTACTAAAAAAATGAGGTGCATAAGCTCAGGTCAATGTATCAATTTGCATAAGAATGAGGTCTATAATATATCAGTTCCAAAAAATAAATGCAAAAACCTGTGCTAATTGAAATAAAACATGTTGACAAATGATTGAATGAGATGTAGTGATAATATAGCATAATGAGAAATTGACCAGGAACCCCGATTTTCATTTTTAATTTGAATTTTTTTTAAACAAAGCACAATGGTTAAAATATATTTAAATTATTAAAAAAATTATTAAAATTATTTACCAACCAAAACCAATTTGTCACTTGTGTTAATTTGTTAAAGTTGTGTTAATTTTGCATGGTGTTACAAATTCTGTGTGGATTACATATGTGTAAGGCTGCTGATACACGGGGCAACTTTTTGAGCAATGTTGCTGTCAATGGGCAACCAGATGAAACACAGGGCCCACAAGCAATCTAAAGTATCCAGATAGAAATTTGTTACCCATTCTCATTGAGAAAGTGACCAAGCAACAATGCTCAAAAAGTTGCCCCCTGTATCATCAGCCTAAAAGTCCTTGCACACTCGAGTCCGAAATTTTCGTATGCGTTTAAAAAATTTTTTTTTTCATAATCATCATTCCTATCAAAATGTTTGCTATGGACGCGAAAACGCAGAAAATCGAACCTGATCCAAATTTTTTATGACAGACAAAAGTTTCGGAGGCAGTGTGTAAACGTGCTTGACACGTTGAAAATTTTGTGTGCAATTAATTAGCTTAAGTCATTTAGATAAATCCCAAGTAAACCATTTCTTCCATTCAATTCAGAACCTTTTTTAAAGAAAACATTTTTAACGTCTGTTTTTCAGCTGTATGGTGTGCAGAGGTGGAGGAACGTTTAGTAAACTACTTACTCTCCCCTGACCGATACAACAAGCTGATCCGTCCGGCAGTCAACAAGAGCCAGCAGGTCACCATTGCAATCCAAGTGTCCCTTGCCCAGCTCATCAGTGTGGTGGGTAGTTGAAACATGAAGAGCTGCCACACATGGCACATTTTATTAATTCAATGTTTATAATATGTTTATGTTTGTATTTCAGAATGAGAGAGAGCAGATCATGACCACAAACTGTTGGCTCACTCAGGTAAGAGAAGCGGAACTTTTGTGTTTGGGTTGTAATTTAAATAAATAAACAATAAAAGTATTTCTAAATGATGTGTCTTTTGCAGGTATGGAATGATTACCGGTTGATGTGGGATCCAGAGGAGTATGAAGGGATCAGGAAAGTTCGCCTTCCCTCCCAGCATATATGGCTGCCTGACATTGTCCTGTACAACAAGTGAGAAATTTTCCAGCCCTTCTGTTGTCTTTTATTCACCCTCACGTCGTTCCAAATCTGTCTTTCTTTTTTTGTGTTGTAGAAAACAAAAGAGAATATTTTTGAATTGTTTTGCTGATACACTGAAAATCTGTGGGGCTAAGAACCGCACTGGATCTCAGTGTCTTTCATTGCATGACCAAAAACTTCAAAATATCTTTAAGTGTGTTGTAGAAGAAAGAGTCATACAGGTTTGGAACGACATGAGGGTAAATTATGTTCATTTTTTGCTGAACTATCCCTTTAAATAATTTATAAAAAGAGGTTTTATTTATTCAAAGGTTGAATCCTTATAAAAAATACAGGTTGCAGCAGGAGACTCATTTTGTAATCTTTTTACAATGGTGCATCAATGCAGGATTTGGACAGGGTTTCACCTTTACCTAGGACAGAGTTACTACATTAATCTCAGGAACTGAGACTGATATTAGAATGACAGCGTTTTTCGCATGATGAGCTGGCACTCAGGATGAGAGTATCAGCTTTAACTTTCCTTTATTATGCACTTTATCATGCACACAAGCAAAAAAGGATACTTTGCTTTTTATATTTAAAACAACACATTTAAAACAACGTCTTTGTCATTTTTAGTGCTGATGGGACATATGAAGTGTCTTTCTACTCCAATGCGGTCGTGTCAAATAACGGCGAGGTTGCCTGGCTACCACCAGCCATTTATAAGAGTGCCTGTAAAATTGAGGTCCGGGACTTCCCCTTTGACCAGCAAAACTGCACACTCAAGTTCCGCTCATGGACTTATGACCACACAGAAATCGACCTCATCTTGCTGTCGGACTTTGCCAGCCGAGATGACTTCAAGCCAAGTGGCGAATGGGATATTGTGTCCTTGCCTGGTCGCAAAAACGAAGACCCAAATGACGCCACATATTTGGATATAACGTATGATTTTATCATCAGACGCAAACCGCTGTTCTATACCATTAACTTAATCATCCCATGTGTTCTCATCACTTCACTGGCCATCTTAGTTTTTTACCTCCCATCAGACTGTGGGGAGAAGATGACTTTGTGTATCTCTGTTCTTCTGGCCTTAACTGTGTTCCTCTTGCTTATTTCCAAAATCGTACCGCCGACCTCACTCGCTGTGCCCCTCATTGGAAAGTACTTGATGTTCTCCATGGTCTTGGTGACTTTTTCAATTGTTACAAGTGTGTGTGTGCTAAACGTGCACCATCGTTCCCCAAGCACACACAATATGCCCAAGTGGGTCAAATACTACTTCCTGTTCCGTTTGCCTGGTTTCCTATTCATGCGACGACCGGGAGAGTCCAACAAACGTGAGAAATTTCACAGGAAGCACCAGCAGTGCTCTTCATCTGATCACCCAGCAAAAAGTGAGGCAGATGAGACTGATTCCACCTTCTTTGTCAATGAAGATGCCAAGCACATTGGTTGGAGACCTGGCGAGTTGCAGGAAAGCACAGAATTTCGTAAGCGAATGGCAGTAAAGTGCTCTGCAGACATGGAGGAGGCTGTGAAGGGGGTCCGATATATCGCTGACAAGTTGAAGAATGAGGATGATGATGAAGGGGTGAGTGTTGCGTTTCACTTAAATAAATTGAAAAAATAAAATTGTTCAATGGACCCATCTAAATTTGTTTGAGATATATATATATATATATATATATATACAGTGGGGAAAAAAAGTATTTAGTCAGCCACCAATTGTGCAAGTTCTCCCACTTAAAAAGTATATATTTATATATATTATAAATATATAAATGTTCATATAAATTAATCAAATTTGTGTGTATATACAGTGTATAAATATATATAGTTATATATTCTATTTATAATTGTTTAAATAACATGTAGTTATTATATATATATATATATTGAAGACTGGAAAAACAGCTGCTGAAAATTCAGCTTTGTCATCACAGGAATAAAATTCATTTTAAAATATATAAAAAATAGAAAAATCTTAACAACTCCAAACTTTTGAATGGTAGTGCAGATATATCAAACATAAATTCAAATAAATCTGCATATTCTCTCTTTCTCACAGATTATCGAGGACTGGAAATATGTGGCTATGGTGATCGACCGTCTGTTTCTGTGGATCTTTGTTTTAGTGTGTGTTGTAGGAACCGTTGGCCTCTTTATGCAGCCGCTCTTCAAGAGCTATAACACACCCGCCACGGATGATTTGTAGATCACATAAAGTCAGATCAGCTTCAACCCAACCCATATGGCTGTTTATTTTCAGTGCACAACCTAGTCTTATCACTTGACATGACAACCTTCTTATTTCAATAAATATTGTAGCAAAAACAAAAACAATGGACTTCAAACCTGACACATTTCATGAAGTGTTAAGCTCTGTGTGCCATTCAGTGCACAATGTCACAAAATTCTTAGATGCCGTTGAGTCAGAGCACAATACTGGACACACACTGAATATTTAGCTGCCCTAATACTGACCCAAACTCAAAAACCCTTCAGAGCTGTCATTCAACCACAACATTTAGCCCTGGAGACCTCAACATTCTCTAACCTCTCATAGAAAATGAAGCTCAAAATCCCAAAATGGCTCTAAACCAACTCTCCCCTGGACTTGTGTTTTTCTTAAACATATTCTGATTTTCTGAAATGTCCAAATGCTTGTGTGCAGGATGCATTCAAATCTGCACACTTATACATAAAAACACTCATTTATATCAGAGAACCTCATCATAGACCTGTAATGTGTTTAAGGTGCTTTGACACATCAGGACTACAGTATGTACTGTGTCTTTAAAAACGTCAACCCTAGCTCAATAGCAATGTGGGTATTTATTTTAAGTCAAATAATAAGCTTTTTACTGGAATATAGATCTTACACCTTAACATACTCTACACACATCTGCATGCACTGTTCTTAAATACACATTTTCATATAATTTTCCCCTTATTATACTTAGATTGGTTTAAACATTACATGAACAGCATCTTGCAGCAGCATTTTGGTTGACCTTTACAGACAGATTTTTGAACATGTTGCTGTCATTGGAATATATAATTATTATTATAATGTTATTTTATTATGATGGTTATGTGATGTATTAAGAAAATAATAAATTAAAACCATACCATTTTTTTGTCACTCTTGCACTTTCATTTACATACATTTTGCTGCAAATATATGATTACAGATTAATTTTTATATGCAGCTTATGAATATATAAATTATTAGCAAACAGCTGTGCTTATCTGTTTTTGATCATGTTGGCTTAGTAATGTTTCTATGCTGTTTGCAACAAAACGATTAATTGCCTTTAGCACAATTTTTAAAGGAATAGTTCACCCAAAAAATAAAACCCTCAGGCCATTCAAGATGTAGATGAGTTTGTTTCGTCATTGAAACAGATTTGGAGAAATTTAGAATTTGGAGAAACATCACATGATCACCAATAGATCCTCTTCAGTGAATGGGTGCCGTCAGAATGTGTTGCTTTTGGTCCAATGGTGATTACGTGTTTCATAATAAATAATGCTTCCTCCAGTGAAAGTCCATCACCTGTTGTCCTTTTAAATCAAAATCCACTGACATTTTTGTTTAGAACTGTGTTGGACTGTTTTCAGTTTTAAACGGTGCTTAATCTGCATATTTCTCTCCTGATTCAGATGAGATGACTTCTAGGATGGCCTGAGGGTAAATAGATTTTTAGCAAATATTCATTTTTGGGTGAACTGTTCTTTTAAAAACCTCTGGGTCATTAAAATCCTAAAATAACTTTAGAGAAAAAAGAATCTGTTGAAACAGTATTTTTTCTTCTTCTATGCTTCCACATGACTGCTTGTAACACTACACTGGTAAATAAAATCAAAGCATGCATCTGCTATGCAGAAGGGGGTCTTTTCACCGTCTCATTATCACGTTAATCACCAATTCTACTTGCTGGGGTTTAGGACTGTATTTTTGCTTTGTTCATTTCTGAGGACTCTGAGATATTTTTAGTGTTTTTCAATGTTAGCTCATCATGACTGTGGCTCTGCTGATTTGACAGGTGGCGACAGTGCAGTCAGGGGAGTGTGCAAATGGAGGCTGAGATGCATTATTTAAAGGAGTGTATGAATATTTAAGTTATTTTCCAGTCTGTTTTTGTTCTCTTCTGAAGATGGCAGTCTGTGTGCAGATTCATGCTGACATGCATATGCAGTGTAGATGAAGGAAGCTAATAAGCAAAGAATGTGAGTCAGCAACCATTAAATCATAATGCCAAATGCCATTATACCAGAGTAGACTTCACAACTTTTAACTATTGCAATGCAGTTCTGATGTGTATTAGATGTTTGACCATGTATTTATGTGGTTTAATCTCGTATTCGAATGATAGAGAATCACATGCAATGGCATAAGAGAAAAGTGACACAGACCCTCACGGAGGCCACAGCTGGTTCCAACTGGAGCAGAAAATCATCTGAGCTCAGACAGTAGCCATGAACGCTGAGGAGATATGTTTGCCTGAGCTGCAGCTTGGACTCAATGTGAGTGTTTACACAAGAGACTCTGCTGAGTTTTTATTTGAATATGTCTGTGAGATTGTAAACAAACACACTCTAGACCAGTGCACTTCCTGTTACCAAGACTAAGTTAGATTTCACCTTTATATAGCCAAAAAAGAAATAAAGAAAGTTTAACATTTTCAAATAAAACCGAGGGACATGAAACTGGCCAAAGCTGAAGAAAAACCATTCAAACAATACTTACTGTATACTTGTATACAATATACAATACTTACTGAAAATCTGTTTCGGAGTTTGAATGATGGAAAATGAGTTGACAACTATAAATGGAAGTTGAGACTGTCTTATGATTTACATAACATACAAATATCATTTGAGGTACATAGAGTATTTAAAGGGCCTATTATTAATGTATTAAAATTGCCAATGTCTCAATACAAATCATATATATATATATATATATATACACACCTTCTGAGCTATTTCATCACTAACTTTTTACAATCTTTTTGAATTCCTTTTTTTCCTTTACACAGTTTACTCACGTTCACTAGAACAGTGAGAAATTGTGCTGTTGGCCACCTTGGCCAAAGAGTGACAGTTACAATTACACTGTGCAGCATTTTCTGAGTATGTTGATCTATTTGCTGAAGCGATGCATTCATCTGTCCCTTTAAACTGACACGCACGCGCGGGACGGATTCCAGCTAGGAGTGATCTGCTCACATCCCCTGCTTTACTATCGTCTAGTATTCTCAACAAACAACAACTACAAACTTATATCGCTTGTTACGAGAAGTTTTTTTTTAAAGAGCAATTAATACGTTCACATTTATTTTAGTTCGTGTTACGCAATATCAAATACTTTCTCCCAAAATGACGCTGGCAGTCATTGGTCTTTTTACCCTGTTTACCAGCATCATCGCCACCACGCCTGGTAAGTGCAAACCAATCACTGTCTCTTTCTGCCCTGTAAAGTTATTTCAATGTTTGTTTAACAGCCTTTTTTGTTTTTGAGTTATGGACTGTGCATAATGCATTTAAAGAGTTGAAAAATATATATTATTTGAAATCAATTTGTAATGGATAATTGTGTTATCAGAATGATTTATGTTTGCGCTTTGCGCAGTTCGCAATAATGACATAATGAGTCACTGAACAAAGTTTTGAATCGTAGTGTCAGCAATAAGAATCTGCGAATTATAAGAAATCTTATCCTGATTTTTTATTTACTTCAATTTCTCCTCAAAATGTAATTTGTTCGCCGTGTTTAGTTGAGTGCGCTTGTCCTCAGTTGAGGTCAGTAAACAATTAGTGAAGGACGCAGTGAGCGGACTTCTGCTGACTGCCATGTCTGTGAAGTGTCTGGTTTCTGTCTGTCCTTGTCTGTATGTCATTACACTTAGTGTACTCTATTCATATGACTCACTTTTATAACACAGTCATTTAGCAGTTAATTAAAGCACAGACACTGTTATTTCAGCTTTATAGAAGGTAACATTAATACCAGGTCAGCTGAGATTGAGAGTAGTATAAACAATGGTTTTAAGTTGTTAGAAGTTACATCAATGATGTAATAAGATGATGATAATGATATGTGTGTTTTAGCAGCTAGAGAGTTTGTATCTCTGGCACAAAGAGAAGATGCTCTTCTTAGGGACTTGTTTCAGGGGTACCAGCGTTGGGTCAGGCCTGTTCAGCATGCAAACCACTCTGTGAAGGTCCGCTTTGGCTTGAAGATATCTCAGCTAGTGGATGTGGTAAGACAAACATACAGATTCAGAATTTTTAAACTTAATTTGAAAGCTTTGAAGGCCCTTGGTTGGTCTCTGTCCATGGTGCTGAAACACAACAGATGGAGCTGTCCGTGGTTTTGAAAACCATTGACTTTTGAAGCCAGTTTATCTCCGTATATTAGGCATATATTAGGGGCATCTGCTTCTTTAGAGTCCATATATAGAAAATATTACCTTACTGCAGCGCCCCTCCTCCATATTTTTTCCCATCTCCTGGATTTATTCTGCCTCACTTTTTCTTTGAAAGGGTTTTGTTGTTCAGAAGACTCGTGTGATAGGAGGCTAAATTATTAAAAGAGCAGAGATCCAGAGAGCTGTAGAATCTTTAACAGTGTGCACCCACAAAAATCCATTGGTGTACTATTTCCCTCTGTGATTAAATTATTCAAACGAAACTTATAGTAATTCAGCATATTTTGATGAAAATGTATTTGCTCAGCAAATGCTGCAGGCATTCATTTCAGCAAATGGACAGACGCACACTAACATTGAGCCTGAATGAATATATTATGTGTTTTCTTGGTAAAACCTGCTTCAAGGTAAGATTTCAATTCTGCATGAAATCCATCAGCATTAAACTGCATTTTATTAATGCTTCAAAAAACAAAACAAAAAACTAATTGGTAACAATAAACACCCAAAATATAAAGTGGGTGTAAAGAGGACACAAGTCTTTGTGTTCCTCTCAATAATAATAATCAAACTATGATGACGTCAACTTACTCTTGCTACATGTGCATGTTGTAATGTGATTTACTTGATGAGGGCTCAGATGTGCCTGTTTGATATTATTGATTTAAAACCTATACCTAAAGGCACAGGTGCCCAAGAGCCTCATAATTCAGAGTATTAGATGGCTTTAAAAGTGGTTATGCGGGACGTTTATCAAAAGATATAGCCAATGATTTTGAGGGCTATGGAAAATAAATAAGGACAGCTATTATTATGCGGGCTGAGTCACCCCTGTCAGCATGGCTCTTCCTCGAATATCTCATAATCTCAAGAAAAATGGGTAATAATATAAGCCTGTTTGATGAAAAGTCTTTTCCCATTGTGGTTCTTTATGCTGCTTATTCTGTTTTACAGCAGACTTTAGAATTCATTAGAATCCAACCACCAGAATTAATTGTTAATTATTAGAGTTAAGACTTCATCTAAGTTAATCACATCTCTCTCTCTCTCTCTCGTACACATATACATGCATATCTCAGTTGCTTATGGCATTATCTTTCTTTCTTCTCTGTTTATGAATTTAGGATGAGAAAAACAACCTCATGACCACTAATGTGTGGCTATGGCAGGTATGTAACCTTAAGCATCACTGTAAAAATGGTCTGGGAAATGTCTAGGAAATTAAAAAATCTCAAGTCAGCTAATTGCCAAGGCAAGGCCATTTTCATTTAGTGTAATTTAATGTACTTAAATGACTAAAACTGAAATAAAAATTAATAAAATTATATAGATGACAAAATAAAAATGACAAAACATTTATTAAATTAGACATATGTACCCTCTAGAAGCGTGTGCGTTCTGCAAGTTCTGCATTATTGTGCCATCTCAAAGAGGCCCAAAATCACTTTCACAGACTTTTACATTAACTGTTCCATGCTGGTGGAATGTCGCCCAACTCAATTCGAGCAGCTGAGTCCTAAGCCATCTTCAGGAGACAGCTAAAACACATCTCTTCCAACTTTATTTGAACCTCTTAACTTTAGCACTCTCTATTCGAATTCTATTTTAACTATTTGTTTTCTTTTTTATTTAAAAAAAAAAACACACACATGACCCTCTAACACTTGCACTCTCTATTTGTTTTCTAATGGCTTGTTTTAAAAAAAAACAGCCTCTAACACTATCTTTATTCTTTTTCTATTCTATCTACTTGTTGTATGTATATATAAATACAGTATATATATATATATATATATATATACAGTGGGGAAAAAAGAGTCGCTTTGATTAAAAGCTTCTGCTAAATGACTAAATGTAAATGTAAAATTTAAATGAAAACAATAATATAAGAATAAAAAATTCAAATATGAATAAAAACTATAATAGTATCTCATTGATACTAAAATAACACTGATTAGTGCAGAAGACACAATTAGCAGTTATTGTTGAATGCTACCTGACTGACAATAAAGTAGTTAAACCCTTAAATGTTTTGTTATAATGAACTCAAAATTATTATTTTTTTAAGGAATGGCTAGATTATAAACTGCGATGGAACCCTGAGAATTATGGTGGCATCACCTCTATAAGAGTCCCGTCAGAGAGCATCTGGCTCCCAGACATAGTTTTATATGAGAAGTAAGTTTGTGCCATTTGTGTGGAAATAACAATAATGACTCATTATGGAATATTAAGACATTAATATATGTTATCCTGGCCACTTTTAGTGCTGATGGACGTTTTGAAGGCTCACTTATGACCAAAGCCATCGTACGGTACAACGGTATGATCACATGGACGCCTCCTGCCAGCTACAAGTCCGCCTGCACCATGGATGTGACCTTTTTCCCATTCGATCGGCAGAACTGCTCTATGAAGTTTGGCTCTTGGACGTATGATGGAAACATGGTCAAACTTGTCCTCATCAACCAGCAGGTGGACCGAAGCGACTTCTTTGATAACGGCGAGTGGGAGATTCTCAGTGCCACTGGGGTCAAAGGCAGTCGGCGAGACGGCCTCCTCTCCTACCCCTACATCACATACTCGTTCATCCTGAAACGTCTTCCTCTCTTCTACACACTCTTCCTCATTATTCCCTGCCTGGGCCTGTCCTTCCTAACAGTGCTGGTCTTCTACCTGCCCTCTGATGAAGGGGAAAAAGTCTCTCTCTCCACCTCCGTCCTGGTGTCCCTCACTGTGTTTCTTCTCGTCATCGAGGAGATCATCCCTTCTTCCTCCAAGGTTATCCCGCTGATTGGAGAGTACCTGCTTTTTATCATGATTTTTGTCACTCTTTCCATCATCGTGACGGTTTTTGTGATCAACGTCCACCACCGCTCTTCAGCTACTTACCATCCCATGTCTCCGTGGGTGCGTTCGCTGTTTCTCCAGCGGCTGCCTCATTTGCTCTGCATGAGGGGAAACACAGACCGCTATCATTACCCAGACCTGGAGCCTCACAGCCCTGACCTTAAGCCCAGGAACAAGAAAGGGCCACCTGGTCCTGAAGGAGAAGGTCAAGCTCTGATTAATATGCTGGAGCAGGCTACCAACTCGGTTCGCTACATCTCGCGCCACATTAAGAAGGAGCATTTTATTAGGGAGGTAAGGGCTTGAAGATGTCTTGAGATGAAGGTAAAGGAAAGTTTCTAACGAATGACTGCATATATAAATAAAAAATGAAACTATCTTTAGACATACACTAAAGTTTAAGGTCGTTTAAAATACTTAAATTTTTTATTTATTTTTTATAAATGATGCATTCATTTGTTCAAATGTAAGAAACCTTTTGAAACAAATTGTTTACTATTTCAAATAAATGCTGCACTTTTGATCTAGCTATTATCAAAAAAAAAGTTTCATAGTTTTCAATAAAAGTATTAGGCAGCATAACTATTTTCAGCATTGATGATAATAAGAAATGTTTCTTGAGAAGCAAATCATCATATTAGAATGATTTATTAAGGATCATGTGACACTGAAGGCTGGAGTAATTGCTGTTGAAAATTAAATTTTGCCATCACAGGAATAAATAAAATGTTACAATATATTTCATTTTTTATTTATTTATAGTAATACAATTATTTTTTACAGTATTACTGCTTTTACTGTATTTTTACAGCCTTGGTGAACATAAGCAAAGACTTTTGAAAACATAAAAATAGTAACAGTAAACAATGGTGTATATATATATATATATATATATATTTATTTATTTTTCCAAAATACATTTTTACAAATCCGCATTTTAAAATGTTAAATATATTTTTACCCAACCCAAAATGTACTTTACAATTTTCATACATTTTAAGTTTGTAAATGTTTTAGATTTAACATTTTTGAAAAGTATTGTCTTTCCCTTTCAGTAAATTCTGTAATATATAGAATATTTATACAAATATAGAATATATGTAATATAGAAATGTGAAGGTTTAAATTTAAATTTTTTTTTTTTTTTTTAATTTGGAAAAATATATTTTCTTATGCTGATTGATTACAATATATATTTTGCATATATTTGAAATATATTTTGGCCAGAATCTATGTTATTTTACTATATATTTAATGATGTTTTACAGTAATAAAGTTGCTCTAGCACACTGTTGATGTTAAGAATAAAGAAAGGAATAAAAACAATGTTTATTAGCACTAATGACTTTTTTAATGTTGACTATTATTTGATGATGAAGATGCCAGTCATGATAGTTATGATAATGATAATGAACATTCCTTCTCTCTTCCAGGTAGTTCAGGACTGGAAGTTTGTGGCTCAGGTGTTGGACAGGATTTTTCTCTGGGCCTTCCTCACAGTCTCTGTGCTCGGCACCATCCTCATCTTTACACCTGCCCTCAAGATGTTCCTGCGCACACCTCCGCCTCCTCCGTGACACTCGAGTCATTCCAGCCAAATACATCACATCGCAAAAGGAAATTTTACTCTACCACCAACATTACAGACAGTGCACATTACTATGTAAATGTAATTTGTTCTTTCACTGCATTAAATACTGAGATGCATGATTAACATTGTAAGATGACACATTTACATTTACCTTTAATGTAAATCAGTGTGAACTTATTTAATTTGAGTCCTCTAACAAAAATCACATACATGAATAAAAAAAGCATTTGACAAACTATTCAAGGTAAAAAAAACTGTAACTTTATTAATTCAAAATCTCTTATAGTTAATTATAATTGGGCAATAACACTTTATATTGCTACCATAAATTTCAAATGTTGAGGACTATTGCTGCATTAATCAACATAGATTGAGCTAGCAGCAAAAACATTTAAAATTAAATGGAAAATATCAAACATTCTAGTAACCCTTTCAGTTTGAGTTCTGCTTAATATAATCAGTTGGGTTGAACTTTCAACTAACTTTAATGAGCTTTCATTAATATTTTAGTCAATTCATTAAATGTTACAGTGCAGAGAAAAGTGCAGCAACTGTACCTCAAGAAAAGTATTGTTCCATAAGCGTGCATGAAGAACAACAGCTGTAGTGCTGTCCACTGCCTCAAGAGGGCACATTATCTTCACACATCTTAAGTCATTAGCACATGTCTGGGGCGGCAACGTGAAAGGTAGAAAAACATTTATGACAAACTTAAGTACCTTAAAACCTTTGATATACATTTTAAAGACACTAGTATAACTACTGATAGTAGTGAAAAGAAAAAGTTACCAGGGTTTTATACTTTCTTTTGTTGCCCAAAGAGGGAAAAAAATCAGTAGAGGCAAGAGCCTTCAGGCCTGATTCATGCTCTACTTCCCGCCGTCCTCTGGATGACGCCTAAAGAGTGAGCATGGGAAACATTAGGGACCGCTCCCACAATGCCAGAAGGGATTGATCATATATCAAATACAGAGAGCTGCAAAGTAGAACCAGTGACAGCTGAAGTTATTAAATGATCATTATTTGACTTTATATCTCACAAAGGAACTACCTTGGTAAATCGGAGTGGGTTGATTGCATCTGCTGGCGTGCAGTGAATAATATTTTTTCGATGATCCTTGATCTGCACAAGGTACAGGAGCCGTTTTCCCTCCTTGGTTGCATTTGGCCACTGAATGTTCAGCACAACAGAACCGAAGGACTTCAGAGGCCGACCAACGTTAATGATCTGACACAGAAAAACATTTGCACAAAATCAACAGGATTTTAATTATACTGGACTCTTTATGTAAATAAAATATACAGCCAAATACTGTACATTCACAGACAGAGATGGACTACCTCTCTCTGTGACAAGTTGCTGAGGTATAAATATGCTAATACATAGGCTACTATCTGCAAAATATTATTATGATCATTCATTTGTTATGTCTAGAAATTGAAAGAGCTTAAACCAGATTGAATTATGGCTAATGATAATGAATAATAAAGCATAGAAATGTATTATTGTGTTTGACTTGGACAGAGAGTTCCTGGGATCCCTGGGCAGCCTCAGAATTCACAAAGACCACTCGTGAAAGAAGACCCCTCTCTATCCGCAATGTATCAGCTTTTAGCGTGTACTTGATCCCTGCAGAAAGGTGACTATCAGATGCGATTCAAATGTTACAGAAAGTTAAAAGAAATTGCTCTGACAAGTTATATTATAACTAATCCAACACACCCATTTGGATGACTCATAAAGACCGCTCTGGGACATTCATTTTTGTTTTGATATCTAAGCATGTGGTATGGTGAACAAGGAATGGACTCACTCAGTTTGTGATTGTATGTAGGTGTCTGGGCAGTGTAAGTGAAGCAGGACTGAGCTGTAATATCACTAAAAATGCATTAAAATAAAAGAAAAAAAATTAAAAACAAAATAATTTTGATAGATAGATAGATAGATAGATAGATATAATTTGCTGTTATCTCACCATGAATATCTCTTGCAGTCCTGAGCCTTGAAATCAATACTATTCGGTGTTAATGTTAAGGTCTTTTCTATGTTTACAACTGGTTTACTCCTTAAAAAAAGAAATAGAAGAAATATTAAAATATTAATAATTAATTTAGTATTCTGAAATGTTCAGATCCTACAAAATTATATTTAATGGAAATATTTGTATAATGTGTGGTGTGTCTGGTTATTCTATCACTTCGTAGGAATTATATGAATGCAAAACATCTGATCAACCTTGAATCTATGATTTTATGAATGTAGGAAACATCTAACCTATAAACTTGCACACTATCTGAAAGTGAACCCACAGCAAGGTCTGGATAGCCATTATCATCTATATCCATGTTTCCAGCCAAAGAATAACCAAACGATTTGATACTAGGGTCTCCAGCATCTAAAACCTATGAACAGAGACGGTTTCAACAGAGAGTCACTTTGAAACATTTTTTGAGTTTCAAATGCAAATGAGCATAGAAGATCTCCATAATGATTCATTCTGGGAGTAATAATATAATATAATTTCATCAAACAAATTTAAATATTAGTCAAAGATAACACAAGTAAACACAACATGCAGATTTTAAATGAAGGTTTTTATTATTAAGGGAAAACAAAATCCAAAACTACATGGCCCTGTGTGAAGAAGTGTTTGCCCCCTTGTTAAAACTGTGGTTTATCACACCTGAGTTCAATTTCTCTAGCCACACCCAGGCCTGATTACTGCCACACCTGTTCACAATCAAGAAATCTCTTCAATAGGACCTGCCTGACATTAGGCCCTTTCGCACCGCTTTAGTTCCAGAACTAAACGTACGGTACTAAAGTACTGGGACGATTTTGCGCGAACTATTTTCCAGTACCATTTAAAGGGTTGCATTCGCACCGAGAGTATGTACTAAAAGCATGACCTTAAAAAGACGGTTCATGCTCAAAAATCCTCCAATGTGGCTGAATTACAACAATTCTGCAAAACAGACTCATTGCAAGTTATCGCAAACGCTTGATTGCAGTTGTTGCTGCTAAGGGTGGCCCAACCAGTTATTAGGTTTAGGGGGCAAACACTTCTTCACACAGGGCCATGTAGTTTTGGATTTTGTTTTCCCTTAATAATAAAAACCTTCATTTAAAAACTGCATGTTGTGTTCACTTGTGTTATCTTTTACTAATATTTAAATTTGTTTGATGATCTGAAACATTAAAGTGTGATAAACATGCAAAAAAATAAGAAATCAGGAAGGGGCCAACACTTTTTCACACCACTGTATATATTACTTATACAAATATTCAAAGTATTTTTTTTAACTCAAACTCTAATGCAATAAATGAATAAATAAATAAAAAAAGATAAAGCTCATACATATGTGACTCCTTTCACAAACCTCTGGTTTTTGACGAAACTCTGCAGCTGAACCATGATATATATACACTCGACCTCTCCCTGTATCCTCATTAGGAGCACTCACTGCAAAATCTATTAATTAGAAAGCATCATCAGTCAGATGCACTGTAAAGCTGAGGCCCAAGACTGCAGTAAAAAAAAATCAACCTTGGTATCCATCTCGATTGATATCGCCAATATGAGCCACTGCTAGTCCAAACATGGAGTCCCTTTTCCCATATAGACACACTGGTTTGATTTGGTTCCAGCGCTGCCCTTTGGCTTGGTTGATGTAAACATACACAGCTCCTCCTACATCTTCATCCATGCTTATTTTGGAAAACTCGGGTGCACCCACAAGAAGATCATCCCACCTGAAGCATTGCAGACATTAACTCCCTAATCAACTGTGTCATAAAGGTATAATGCCTTTATTACTCATAAGAAATTTTACGATCATCACATCCTGTTTAGTCATTTTTGTAACTTGTTAGGTGAAGACTCACCCATCTCCATTTAAGTCAAGAACAGCGAGGTCATAGCCAAAGGAGGAGGCCAAACCTGGGCCTTGAAGGATGTACTCAGCTTTCAGGTTCCTTGTTTCTGCCTTTTCTTCTGGTCTCAGCAGCAAAACCTCCCCACTGTGGTTTGATCGCGGAGCCCCGGCCACAACATTCAGCTCTCCTTTTTTCATTAGGTTCATTCCAGTATCGACAGCAAAGCCTGACAGAAAACAAAAGAAAATTTGTTGATAAATGGATGATATCAGATTTAAAAGTGTCATAGCATACATACACTGCCACTCAAAAGTTTGAGATCAGTAAGACTTTTAATGTTTTTTAAAGAAGTTTCTTATGCTCATCAAGGCCGCATTCATTCGATCAAAAATATAATATTATACTACTGCAATTTAAAATAACAGTTTTCTATTTTAATATACTTTAAAAGTATAATTTAATGACACAAAGCTGAATTTTAGCATCATTACTCACATGATCCTTCAGAAATCATTCTAATATGCTGATTTATAATCAATGTTGGAAACAGTTGTGCTGCTTAATATTTTTTGGGACCTGTGATACTTTTTTCAGGATTCTTTGATAAATAAAAAGTTAAAAAGAACAGTGTTATTCAAAATAGAAATTTTGTGTTATACGTTACCATTCAAAAGTTTGGGGTCAGTAAATTTTTTCTTTTCTTTTTTTTAAAGAAATTAATACTTTTATTTAGCAAGGATGTGTTAAATGGATAAAAAGTGATAGTAAAGACTTATATTGTTAGAAAAGGTTTCTATTTTGAATAAATGCTGTTCTTTTTTACTTTTTATTCATCAAAGAAAAAAGTATCAAAGGTTCCAAAAAAATATTAAGCAGCAAAAATATTAAGTTTCAACACTATAATAATAAATCAGCATATTAGAATGACTTCTGAAGGATCGTGTGACACTGACGAGTGGAGTAATGGCTGATGAAAATCCAGTGCTGCGTCACAGAAATAAATTATATTTTAAAGTATATTAAAGTAGGAAATTCTATTTGGTTCAATATTTATACATTTTTCTGCATTTTTGATTAAATAAATATAGCCTTGATGAACATAAGATAAGTTTTTCCCTGAGGTCCATACATTAGTATGTTTAGAATGAGTCAATTTTTGCTGCTTAGTTTCAAGAAATGCCTTTTTTGGAACTTCTTAAAGTTACAGTGTGTTTCCATGGTACATCAATTTGTATTCCTCATTATTTTATATTTGCTGATGCATTCTAACGTATTTATCTATATTTGTAAGCATCTATATTTACAGTAATATATTATTTTGAATAGGTCTGCGTTCAATACCAAGGTATTTACAGGAATCATGGAGTTAAATGTAATACCTTTTAAGACCTTTTTTAAGACTCTTTCCATACATTTTAAGATCTCATCGCCACTCCAAGTTTTAACCGGTTACATTGGCGACACTTTAACTTACATTTACTATATATTGATTGTAAGATAGCACAACTAAACAGACTTACTTTGTGGTAACTCATTATCAATTCAACATAATTCAGAAGGAGGGAACGAAGCACAAGATAATTAATTGAGTGACTAACCAATGCAAACCAAGAAAGAAGAATTAGACCAATAAACAAAACTGACAAAACATATTGAGGAGGGAAAATAAAGCTCTCTGTGCTAATGGGGCAATGAGTTCACACAGTATATTCAAAAGATGTATTTGTAACATCAACTCTTATAACTGTCTGCAAACCATAGCTGTTTTGTGGAACACTTCTCAAGACAAACATCTGACTGATCATACAGTTTACCTGTGATTACGGAGTGCTTGATTTGATGCAGACTTGACAGAGTGTCAGTACTGCACCTGATTGTGTCTGAATGATCATGGAAGGTAAAATAATGATCACAACTATTACATCATTTTAATTGTGCATCCCATGCCAGTAAAAAAACTGCCCAAAGTAGCGCAATTACCATAAAAATCCCTAAAATACATATTTTACAGTCACTGTTGTGGACATTTATCATAAACACAGCTCAAATGCTTCCTACTAGTGTAGGCCCTTCCTTCTAGTGTTTAGCACAGTTTTATTACAGGTAGAATGCAAAATGTTTCAGTACAAGCATTTCAACCTTTTATTTATTATTGTTTGTAATTTATGCAATATTTTAAACCTTTAAGCCACTGGGGAAAATCAACCCATGGCAACAGTTTAAAAGCAGCCCAATTTTGTGGAAAAACAACAACAACCCTGCATGATCCAACACGAGCTGCAGAAGTCAGACTTGACTGATCACGAGTCAAAAGTAAGGAGAGATAACAGACAAGATGTTGGAGGATTTGCTCCTCAAGAGATCCCGAGCTCATTGACAAATATCTTTTATCGTAAGATGTGCTCCCTTTACACAGTGCGATCGCAAAATCGAAAGTGAACTGCGAGCGCTCATTCAAAAGAGATTTAAATACCCCACATATTGATAGAGGTGCCCTGATGCCCGAAAATTATATACAATATTAGAATATTTGCAGGAGCGAACACAAAAATCACAGGAGCGGATGGGAGCATGCGGTAATAGTCAGAAATTCAGTGAGAGTGAGATCAACAAGCCCCGCGCTATCATGCAGCGCTCCAGTCAGTCAGTGAGAGCCATAACAGATGACGTCAAATCTTGCGGGATTCCATAAATAAACTACACAGAACCCCACTATTTGGACAAATATACTAATGAAAAGACGATACAAAATTTAATACCTTGGAAAATGGCATTTAAGATTTTTTTATACTTTTTAAGTGACTTAATTTTCTCTAAATTGATATATCAACTTTTAATACTTTTTAAGACACCGCGGACACCCTGAATACAGTTGTATTGTAAGTTGGCCTCCGGTACACAGTAGTCCAAGAGGTTGACCATAATCACCTAAAAGGCTGCTGAAGTCCACAGGAATAAGCTTGTGTTGACGCTGATCATGATCTCCCGTTTCATAGGTATCTATAGAGAAGTCATCAACAGGCTGCATGTGCACAATGCCTTAAGTGTGAAAAAGAGATCATAAATGATGGACTGCAAGGTAGTACTCAATATTACAGACTTACAAAGTTACAATGAGTTCTAAAAATATATAAATAAAAAATTATTAAAATAAATAAATAAAATTTAAATAAAATAATAATTAATTAAAATAAATAAAATAATAATTAATTAAAATAAATAAATAAAATATATTTAAATAAATAAAAATTACATATCACCTTCCCAAACAATTTTGCAGTACCTTTCCAGTCATATGCTCCTGGAGCTCCATAAACAAGATATTTGTTGTCTTTGGAAAATGCTACAGAGACACCTTGTTGACAGTAGCCAAACTTGTGCTTATCTGGTTCCCGATTCTTACAAATTGCTCTTGTGGACTCTCCATCTGTCACCAAGTTAAGGTCCTGTTCCAGGACAAAACATCTGCCCAATAACCGCCGGTTGTCAAAACTCCAATCCTGGTACCTGTGGGCACAGGTCTAGATAAAACAGAACATAGACTTTACACATAACGTCAATAAAAAAATTAAGCTATTATATGTACAAAAATATAGAGTTTGACGGATCAACTTTAAAGTGTTTTCACAATAAATTAGAACCAGCTGATATGAACAACACAAGATGCTTCTTTACCACTACTTTGCCTCCTCGTCCCTGACTTCGGACACGGACGCCCAGCCATTGCTTTTCTCTATAATCTTGTCCAGGATTGTTTGGGGGACGTTCTTTAAGATTAGAATAAGCTCTTTAAGATACTTAAAGTGCTTGCATTATTAAAAAATAAACAATGCATTTCAACAATGTATGTAGCTCATTACCATATTCAGCAATGCAACTGACTGATAAAATATTAACAATATGCGTTAAAATAACAATAAGTAAAGCACAACCAACCTTTTATATCAACAGAAATGCGTTCACAATCATGAGATTGTGTTGTGAATTTACATCTGTACAGACCTCCAGATATATTGGCATTTTGACTGGGCAATGCTTTAGCACGAGGGGCTCCAATCAGCAATCTGAAGATGAAAGTGTTGTCCATAGATAGATAGATAGTTCAAGTTCAAGTTCAGTTTATTTATAAAGCACATTTAAAAACAGCCACAGGCCGACCAAAGTGCTGTACAAGTTAGAATAAAAAAAAAAAAATTAAGTACTCTAATAGCAGCAAATCAGTTAAAACAAAACACTCTTATAAAGTATAAAGATAGATAGATAGATGATTATTTAATATTTCAATAATATTAATAAGCATGCAGGTAATTATAAAGTGTTAAGGTTTGAACTGCTGGATATTTTTGAAAAACAATATGAAAAATGGCAATTTTTTTAATCACAAATAATAATAATAAAATAAAAAATATATAATAAGAACAAGTTTCTCACACTCGCTCCTCTGAAGGTTTGAGCTGATGGTGCATGGCCATAGAAAACCCAAACAAAGTGCCAGCTTCTCCATGCATGTTCATCACGTTCTGCTTGTCCAGGTTAAAAGACGAAACCTCTACACGAAGCATCCACACGGTCAAGAGGAGAGCACACTGACTGAACAACATGATGGTGGACCTCTCTGGAGCTGGATATGGACTGAGAGATTGTAATATCACCCAGAAGAAAAACTCCCGCTGCAGGAGGGCGAGGCGATGTGACACATTATATAAGCCTTGGCTGATTTATCACCTCAGGGTGGGGATAAGGCCAACTGTACTGTAAAGAGAGTTAATGTTTACCTGCAAAGGAAGCCTGAACACATGCCCTTTCATCCTCAGTCATTGCCTGGAATGCGTAGTCAAATTCTAGATAAGAGTCAACATGTTACAACAGGGCAATATCAAATGATAAAGATCAACACCTGCAGTTGGGACAGATAAACTAGTCGACATGGAAGCCACAGAGACATCATTAAAAATAAGAATAATATATATAAAACCTTTGTAAAACTTATATATCTATCTCGACGCCAAATGAAACTGTGCTATTTTTCTGGACAGATTAATTACACAATATACATTGAACCAATAGATGGCGCTAGAGATTAACGGTGTTATGAAGAATAGTGAAGAGATCCCACCAATTCACTATCTCAACAAATTAGGATACTTCATAAGACCAATATAAAAAATATTTTTAGTGAATTGTTGGCCTTCAGGAAAGTATGTTCATTTACTGTACATCAGACATGGGCACAAAAATAAAAAAAATTGTAAAAATTAAATAAACAAATACAAATGAAAAAAACCCCCACAGGATTTAGAATTAAAATATACTATACACTGGGCCTGTGTTGACCTTTGTGACAACATGCCCCAGTAGCTGGACAGAGTTGTCACAATATGGGGTATTTTGTCACAATAGAAACTGTCGTTAAACAGTGTTATAGGCTTTCAAGGCAAAATTAAACAATACAATAAAGTTGTTTAAACGTAATTTATAATAACATTAATAATAATAATGTGACAACTTGGCCCATCTCGATATTAATGAAAAAAAAACAGAAGGGAAAAAAACTCTTAAAAGTTTAAAATCTAAATCATTATAGTTGAATCTAGTCTGAATGGATGTTAATGTGGTTGCATTGTGTTCAATTGTTCACCTAATAGCTATAGCAAAACTATGATTTTTATGTATTTCGGTTTGGACAATGCATTTGCATTTTGAATTAGCTCTTTAAAATCAACATACAATTCCACTGCTAAAAAAAGTTTAATTTTGTGACAAATTCCATGTATGACAACTAGTCCCGGTCTGACAGTAACAGCAGTTGTATGGACGTTGTTTTGAATCACACTACTGAGCAGCAGTTTTTGTCTTTGCACATAGTGGCCATGGTTTGGAAACTTATTGTGCATCATTGTGGTTTTAGCACAGAGAGCTATAACATCTTCCTGATTATCAACAACATAATTAAAACCCCTTAAGCTTGACTATATCTTTTGCACAGAGTTTTAGTGTTGAGCACATTTATACATTTCCACACAAAAACCAACACAGAACAGGTTTTCCATTAAAAGATGAATACAAGTATTTTTAAATGCAATATAAATATAGTTGCAACTGTAATGTTACTATACACTCTTAAAAATAAAGGTGCTTAAAAGGTTCTTCACAGCGATGCCATAGAAAAACCGTTCTTCATTCCACAAAGAACCACTCAGTAAAAGGTTCTTTAAAGAACTATCTCTTTCTTACTTTTTTATAATCTGAAGAACCTTCTTTAGCCACAAATAACCTTTTGTGAAACATAAAGGTTCTTCAGATGTTTAAGGTTCTTTATGGAACCATTTAGACAAAAAGGTTCTTCTATGGCATTGTGCAGCACCTTTATTTTGAAGAGTGTAAGCATAAAAATATCCATGATTAAGTGCTTCCTAGAGATGACCTTTTTGAGTTCTACCTTAAATAACAACATGCATTTGAGCACTACTAACTTTAACAGTGGCAAAAATAACTATACATCCTGTGGAAATTTTAAAAGCTGTTGCGGCAAGTGACTTGTTTACTGAGAAACCCACTGAGGATGGTGTAAGTCAGTAGATATGAGTGGTCATGGGTAACTTAAACGAGGGTGGTGGGTGACAGGAGGACAAGAGCGGTACAGAGAAACCGCTTAAAATAACAGGTCTCACATTCTGCACAATATCTCATACACATGCTCACACATTTAAGCACAGATGCACTCCTGCACACATGCACATAAAAACTCACACATCCACTCACACATGCAAGTGCATTCCAACACTGAACACAAACACAGGTTGATGCATCTTTATCTTTGACACTTTGATACATTTGATGGTCCCAAGAGATACAAAATCTTTTATTAGTGTGTTTTAGAGCCAGAACTAACACAGATAGAGGGATGGATATTTTACAACACAACTATTGTGGTGTCTTTTTCTCTTATATGATATATAATATATAATATATAATAATGGCCTGCCTGAAAATTAGGGACAGGCAAACACACATCCAAAAGCACATTTTGAAACACTGGAAACCAAGATGGGTGTTTCATCCACTGTGGTGGAGGCAGAGCCTAAACTGAGACTGCATCTTAACCCTCCCACACAGTGATCAGTTCACATTCAGGAGGCATACCGTGCATATGCAAAAATAAAAGAACCTCTGAGAGGAAATGTATAAGTTCCAAACTCTATTGGAAGGTAATTGTATCCATTTGGAAATTACTAAAATTACACTCTAAAAACTGCTGGGTTAAAAACAACCCAGCACTGGGTGAAATATGGACAAACTCAGCGATTGGGTTGTTTTGACCCAACCTTCTGGGTAGTTTTATTTAACTCAACTATTGCTTAAAAATGACTATATTTCTTGCTTAAAATGAACCCAAAATGGGTTGGAAATAAACATTTATGAATATGTTCAACAAATGAACATTTATTAATAAGATGAATAAATAGTAAATAAATATATATTTTTAAGTTGTTTATTAATACATTCTCACCTTTTGATTATTGATGATGCCTCTAGTAATTATGTGTCTGATTTTTAATGTACAACCTATTTTGGGTTAATTTTAAGCCAGCCATATAGTAATTTTTAAACAATATAGTTGAGTTAAATAAAACTACCCAGAAGGTCGGGTTAGACATTTAACCCAACCGCCGGGTCAAAACAATTCACTGGGTTTGTCCATATTTCACCCAGCGATGGGTTGAATTTAACCCAGCATTTTTTAGAGTGTAGTTATATATTTCATTTGTTTAGTTATATATTTCATTTGTTTAGGGTTTGGACAGTATATGCTGCAGGTTACAAGGTGAGGAAACTTTCTTAATTCCTTATTTTGTGGAAGAAAATGTTCCAAACAAATAAACAAAACAAACCTTAACTCAACTACAATAGCACGCAATGTGTAATACTCAAATATCGTTTCTGAGTACAAAATTGGAACACTGTAAAAGTGTCACCAAGTAATACATATGTCTACAAAATGACGTTATCCAGACCCCCCCCCCCAAAAAAAAACAAAATCATACAATTTTTTTTTTTACCGTACATTTCTGCCATATATGGACATCAAGTTGAGTCACCACTGATAAGCTATTACTAAATATAATGTAGAAACTTTAATTTTCTGTAAAGCTGCTTTCGCTGTACAAATAAACTTGAATTGAATTGAACTGAAAGTGCAAAAAGAAGAAAGTAATGTGAATATAATCTGCATTTGCACAAATGTCCAAATGCTATGGGCAATATTTGACTATTCACTGTCAGAAACTATAAGCGTTCCTGTTTCAGAATACTAAATTAAAGTCATTGTGTTCTGCTTTTCTCATCAATTTAACCATTTATAAAGTGTGCCTAATCCACTCACTTTCAAGTAGCCATATTTCAACCAGAAAAATTACTGACCTCTTTCTGGTGGTCGTCACCTAAATCACCAGCCCACACAAAGGCTTAGAAACGTAATGTGGCCAATATAAACTGCAAGGATAAGAGCAAATGCTTAATCTAGTTTACTGCTACAATGGAACACACTATTACCAAACAATCATCAGAGCAGCAATCACACATTTATTGCACTACAACACCTTCATGCTAGTGTTGCTTTAACAGCGCAGAATAAATTCCATTCACGACTACATCGGCTGCTGAGTGTGAAAAACAGTATTTAAAATAATTAAAAAATTATTTCTGCATAAATCTTATCAGCAAACATGACACTGATTTTGGTTAGTTGTTAGTAACCTTTTTCTTTCAAGTGTATTGTTTCAATTAGATGCATGTTTAGTTTACCTCAAAATAACCTTTCAAATGTATTTTGACATAAAAAAAGACTTATTTCTATAATCTTCTTGTTACCCAGATGCAATAAGACTTATGACAGCTACATATAAGGCATATAATTTATAAGCAATGCATCTCAGTTTACTGTCCTTTGGAAATTTGTACATAAATGAGTTTAGGACTATTTATTTATTTTACTTCAGCGAATATTTCTCAGTGTAAGTACATTTCTGTATGTTTTTGAGCATATAAAGCATATACAATTTATATTGAGCATATAAAATGAATCTATCTTAGAGATAACAGATCCCTTGTCAGAAGAATGGATACAGTGGAGAGAAAATGAATGGACAAGACCAAGATAATCAATTAATAAAAATAATCTTCATATTGAAATAATCTCAATGAAACAACCTGATAAATAATACACTCAATATTTATACAACTCACCATTTTATATTCATTATATACAGCACAACAGCGGAAGACAATAACTACTGAACATTTAAAGTCAAGTCAAGTCACCTTTATTTATATAGCTTTTTTAACAATACAGATTGTGTCAAAGCAGCTTTACAGTATTAAATAGTGTGTCAATAATGCAGAAGGACAATAGTAAACACTACATTTTCAGTTAAAGGCAGCTCATCATTGAATTCTGTGATGTCATCATCCAGCTCAGTTCAGTTTAAATAGTATCTGTGCAATCAAGTCGACGATATCGCTGGAAAATAAGTGTCCCCAACTAAGCAAGCCAGAGGCGACAGCGGCAAGGAACCAAAACTCCATCGGTGACAGAATGGAGAAAAAAACCTTGGGAGAAACCAGACTGACTTCTTGTATTTTAAAGAATCATATGCTCACACACTGCTGAGATTTTTCTCTCCTTCCTCCAGATTTAATTTTTCTCTGACTGAATCGCAAGGCTGCATATGTCAAATTCTCATCATCAGTGTTCTGAAGAGAAAAGGTTACCAAAATTATAAAACTGACTTGTATTTGAATTCACTGCATTTATAAATATAAAGCAAATCACAATGACATAGATATAGGGTACACTTATTCACTTATTAATTTCAAAAAGCAACATGAAATTAGAAAACTAACAGTAATTGGTTAAATACAATTTAGTTGTTGGAGCTGAACAAAACAAAACATCCTACACTGAAAAAAATTATACTAGATTTTTTTAAGGTAAGTGGTTGCAAAAAATTTATTTTAGCTACATTTAATAAAAAAAAAACATGTTCAAAGTTAAATGTTGCTAAAATAAATTGATTGCAACCACTCACCTTAAAAGAATTTAGTAAATTCAATTAATCATTTTTTTCAGCGTAGTTTGGCAGTCCAAACGAATCAAAATGACATTTAAAGCATTACTAAAGGTAAAGATTCCTCTTTAATATAGACAGCAAATTCATCCTCTTACCTGAGCACCTCTCACTTCGTTGTCTTGTCCAGAAACTTGCACTGTATGAAAAAGATGCAGAAACCACTATAAGCATTTTCAAAAAATAAATGCAAAAAGGGGGGAAAAAGAAAATAAAAAATCCTAGCAGACTTACTCAGACACTGTTCATACATACCTCTCTTAAATATAAAACCCACAAGAGCAAAGATTAGAACTCCACAAAGTCCCAAAGCACATGCCAACCCAAGCACTGCTGGACAGAGCCTTTCTTCTGAAATGTATGCAAATTAAATGTTTCTAGATTTATTATGAAGACTTTTCTGTCACAAAAGTAATTAAATGAAAGCAGTGCTTGTTTACCATTCTTCACTTGGTTTGTACTTTTTTCAAAGCATTTTTGTTGACATTCTGTGAAGTCACTTAGATTATCAGACTTTGAGATCTTTGACGCTGCATCTTGTCGACCTACTCAAATAAATAAACAAATACACAATTAAATATAATAAAAATAAATCTTTAACCCAATTGTGTTAGAGATTCATAAATATCTTATTCTATTTTGTAATTTACAGATGTGCATAATCTTCACAAATAGGCTAAATACAATATAACTCATATGGACTGACTGTAATCATATGGAGTCACTGTAATCATGATTTTGATGATTTTGAAAATGTACCTTTAATGATCAGATGTGTTCCACTTCCAAACTCAATATAAAATGCTTTTGCTCCACAATAGTACACTGCTTCATCTGACTGAATGATGCCTGAAATTGTTAGATTGGAGGAGCTGCCCAATCTCTTGCCCCAGAATCGATCATTTTTAAACTCTTTGTAAAATATGGGTTCTGACATTTTCTGAAATGCTGACATGACTCGAGGTGGTTGTCCAGCAATTTGCTTATACCAATATATGTTGTCTTTATCTGAACAACACTGCAGAGTCACAGTGTTGCCAAGTGCCACAGTTATGACTTTATCTGGCTGATGAACATGAGGATACGCAATACCTGAAAAAATTGATCATGCCCACAGGTTAAGACATGAACTGGATATTCAATAAAAATAAATAACTAATTCAGAATATTTTTTCAGAAAATCAATCACAAAAATCCACAGAGCTCTAAAAACTAAATAATCACAGCAATCATTTAAAATAAATATTTCAAAACTGTAAAATAAATTTAAATAAAACATGACTTACGTAAAATACAAAGAACAGTGAAAAATGTCCAAGGATTCATTGTAAAAAGAATGTAAAAAATGTTCTGCTGCCCATGTACCATCAAACTGGTAATAGTTTTATTGCAAAGCAGGAGTTCCTTATATACAGTACTTCCTGGACTAACTGACTCAGATTAATTACCATTGGTTGAGACACTTATAGGGGGAAAAAGGTCCTCTTCACTTTCCAGTTATCTTCTGAACTATAAAACAAAGTGCTGTAAAATTTTGGGTTACCCACAATGCTGTAACATTAGTAGTTCCGTTTCAGTTGGTTCACTACGTGTCACGTCATGACTGACGAATTGGGATCTCGCTTCGAGAGACCAATCTACTTTGAGTGTAAACTAAACGAGCCAATGCACATTGGCATGCGATGATTGCATCCAGCTGCCGCTGATCACAGCGTGAGCATAAAAAGGCAGCAAATGCAACACATACCAGCTTTTCGCTTTGGAGCTGAGCAACAACATCGTTCTACTCCTACCAGTGTCTTCAGTGAACTACAAGTTCAGCGCGCTCTTGGAAGCTTTTGTGTTGGCGGACGGCGCTCCAGCGATGGTCGTTCCTGTGTTGAGTGGGTTGCGCACTTCAGGCTGCACTACCTCCTGTCGTGCTGCAAGCGGCCTTCTCCCCTGTGCGCCTCAGCACGTGAAAGAGCATTTCCCTAAAAGAGCCAATTTTCTGTAAAAGAGCTTACACGGGTGCGTCTTGTAAAGACGACGGATCGTCTTTTTAAAGATGCTGTTTCACCCGTGCGTTTCTGGATGCGGTCGTTACCTAGCGCCGGGTGATGGTCACGATCACTGCCTCGCGTGTCTGGGCATGAAGCACGCTGAGGTGGCGTTCGTGGATGAGTCATGTTCCCATTGCAGGAAGATGACCATCTCGGAGCTGCGGACCAGGCTTCGCTACCTCCAGGGGGGTGGAGTTCTGTTGCCTCTGCGGCAGCCAGGCAAGGACTACTTCCAGCAGTAGCACGGGCAGTCTGAGGGTTACAGTGGTGGCAAACCCCTCAGGGAACCAACCCTCGGGGGCCCACCACTTCTCCAGCGCTCCGCAGCCAGCCGAGCCGCAGAAGGAACGCGACCCAGAGATGGAGGGATCTGCTCTTCGGGAGATGGTGAACGCACCACTCCCTCCCCCGGAGAGGGCCGGGTGGAGAATCTTTTGTTTTGTTTTTCTCCGCCACCCAAATTCTCGACAAAAGAGCAGTTTTCACTATCTCTGGGTCCCAAGAGGGCACGGAGGGTCGCGGACGGTTCAACTCCGGACTGCACTCATCCTCCTCTGTCGCCAGCAGGCAGCAGCAGGCGGTTCGAGAGCGTCAACAAAGGCCCTACTCACGCACCCTCTGCCAAACTATGGAACCAGGTAAGTGCTGCACCGCACACTCAGACCCATCTTCGGTCCGCTCACAAGCCGTCTGAGTTGGGTCCCTGTGTTCCACCTCGCTGCACCACTGCGGGTACGGCGGTGGCTCTGTTGGTCTCGCTTGCACGGTATCTGGGTGCCTGGCTAGCGCTACCCAGCCCATCTCGCTGGCTTCTGCGGACCATCAGCCTCGGCTATGCGATTCAGTTTGCCCGGCGTTCCCCCAAGTTCAGTAGTATCCACTTCACGAAAGTGAAGGAGGCCGATGCTCCTGTCTTACGTGCGGAGATCGCAGTCCTACTGGCAAAGGATGCGATAGAGCTGGTCCCTCCAGCCGATATGAATACAGGGTTTTACAGACCCTACTTCATTGTACCCAAGAAAGGTGGTGGGTTACGGCCAATCTTGGATCTGCATGTATTGAACCGGGCCCTTCACCGGTTACCGTTCAAAATGTTGACGCAGAAACGCATCTTTGGTTGCATCTGTCCCCGAGATTGGTTTGCAGCGATCGACCTGAAGGACGCGTACTTTCATGTATCGATCCTTCCGCGCCACAGACCATTCCTGCAGTTCACTTTCGAGGGACATGCATACCAGTACAAGGTCCTGCCCTTCGGGCTTTCCCTGTCTCCCCGTGTCTTCACGAAAGTCGCGGAGGGTGATCTTGTTCCCTTCAGAGAGCAGGGTGTTCGCATCCTCAACTATCTCGACGATTGGCTTATACTAGCACAGTCTCGGGTTCAGTTGTGCGAGCACAGGGATCTGGTGCTTCGGCACCTCATCCAGTTGGGTCTTCGGGTCAACTGGGAAAAGAGCAAACTCTCCCTGATGCAGAGGATCTCTTTTCTCAGTATGGAGTTGAATTTGGTCGAACAGACAGCATGCCTCACAGAGGAACGTGCGCGGTCGGTACTGAACTGCTTGAATTCATTCAAGGGCAGGACAGCGGTCCCACTGAAACTATTTCAGAGGCTCCTGGGGCATATGGCAGCTGCAGCAGCAGCGGCAGTCACGCTGCTGGGGCTGCTTCATATGGGACCACTCCAGCACTGGCTTCATGGCTGAGTCCCAAGGTGGGCGTGGCAGTGCGGCACTCACCGGGTCCAAGTTACACCGGCCTGTCGCCAAGCCTTCACCCCGGGGTCAGACCTTACGTTCCTTCGGGCAAGAGTGCCCCTAGAACAGGTCTCCACCACCGGCTGGGGGGGCCACATACAACGGGCAAGCAGTGTCAGGGGGTGTGGACGGGCCCCCAACTGCACTGGCATATCAATTGCCTAGAGTTGTTAGCAGTGCGCCTTGCCTTGAACCGTCTCAAAGGGTGCTTACGAGGCAAGCACGTGCTGGTCCGAACGGACAACACGGCGACTGTTGCGTACATCAACCGACAAGGGGGTTTGCGCTCCCATCGCATGTCGCAACTCACCCGCCACCTCCTCCTTTGGAGTCGGAAGGTTCTGAGGTCACTTCGTGCCTTTCACATTCTCACGTTCCCCGAACTAATGCTCCTCGCGACTGCCCCTCCCTGGCAGATTCCTCTGAGGAAAGATCTACTGACTCAGAGACGGGGCACCCTGTGGCACCCGCGTCCAGACCTCGGGAAACTTCATGTCTGGTCCCTGAAGGGACGCGGAGGTTCTAGGTGACCTACCCCAAGAGGTAGTTGACACCATCACTTCGTCGAGAGCACCGTTTACGAGACGTGCTTACGCTTTGAAGTGGAACCTGTTCGTCGAGTGGTGTCCTTCTCACTGAGAAGACCCCCGGAGATGCCCGGTCAGGGTCGTGCTTTCCTTTTTGCAGCAAGGGTTGGAGCGAAGGCTGTCTCCCTCCACCCTTAAAGTCTATGTCGCTGCGATTGCGAACCCGTGGAAGGGAAGTCGGTAGGGAAGCATGATCTGGTCATCAGGTTCCTCGGGGGGGCCAGAAGGTTAAATCGTCCCCGGCCCTCCTCTACACCCTCTTGGGACCTGTCTCTGGTGCTTAAAACACTACAGCAGGGCCCATTTGAGCCTTTGCAGTCAGTTGAGCTAAAGTTTCTTTCAATGAAAACTCTGCTCCTGCTTGCATTGGCCTCCATCAAGACCTGCAAGCATTTTCGGTCGACGATTCATGCCTAGAGTTTGGGCCGGCTGACTCCCAGGTAATCCTGAAGCCCTGGCCCGGCTATGTGCCCAAGGTTCCCAGTACTCCCTTCAGGGATCAGGTGGTGAGCCTGCAAGCGCTGCCCCAGGAGGAGGCAGACCCAGCCCTAGCTTTGCTCTGTCCCATCCGAGCCTTGAGATGCTACGTAGACCGGACACAAAGCTTTAGGACCTCAGACCAGCTCTTTGTCTGTTACGGAGGCCGGCAGGGGGGGAATGCCGTCTCTAAGCAGAGGATGGCCCACTGGATTGTGGATGCCATCACCCTGGCTTATCAGGCACAGGGTGTGCCCTGCCCGTTCAGGTTGCGAGCTCACTCTACTAGAAGTGTTGCATCCTCCTGGGCGCTGGCTCGTGGCGCCTCGCTGACAGATATTTATAGAGGCTGGGCGATCCCCAACACATTCACTAGATTCTATAGCCTTCGTGTCGAGCCGGTATCCTCCTGTGTTCTCACCTCAAATGGGTAGAGGCACTGAGAGGCCCCGGTTAGTGTCGGCTTGCTAAAACTGCTCCAGAGTGTCCGAACTGTAGGCCCTGTCGAGCTCCTCCGTCCCCTCGGCAGCCAGACATGGCGGAACGTCCGGTACCAGGCCCTCACTCGTTGAATCCATGAGAACCGGTAGAGGGCTGGGTTCCATATGTAGAGGCCTAAGTGGTTCCCATATGTGTAAAGTCCACAGTATAGCCTCAGAGCCCGTGTTTCCCCGGCAGACTTCTGCCATTCCATGAGGGTTACAATCACCTCTAATCTACCATATGCACCTAAACGGATGTCATATGTGTAAGTGCTTCCGAAACCTCCTTCGGGAAGGATGGGGCTTCCGCAACATTCCTGTTCGAAGTGATATGGGTATGTTTTCCCAGTGTTATCCAATCTCACTGATTGGGTAGTGCTTCGACAACAGTGACTGTTCTTCTTGTTGCGAGTTACGTATGTAACCCTCGTTCCCTGAAAGAGGGAATGGAGATGTCACGTCCCGTCGCCACGGCTGCTGTACCACCGCTGAGCGGCCGGGTCACCGGCTCGGCTCCTCAGCGAAAACCTGGTATGCGTTGCATTTGCTGCCTTTTTATGCTCACGCTGTGACCAGCGGCAGTTGGATGCAATCATCGCATGTCAATGTGCGTTGGCTCGTTTAGTTTACACTCGAAGTAGATTGGTCTCTCGAAGCGAGATCCCAATTCGTCTGTCACGACATAACGTCTCCGTTCCCTCCTTCAGGGAACGAGGGTTATATACGTAACCGAGACGGTTTTCTTTGTAAATTATTTTATTTTAGTGAAGGCTGGTTGTGCAAAATTAGTATTAATATATCTAGATAACATGCATTTAAAATATCACTCCTAGTTTATGTCATAATCACAGATATTAATATATTTTTAAAAATACTTAAAAAGAATGAAAGGTAAACATGAACAAAAGAGGCTTCTTTAAACTTACTGCTAAGCATTTGGGGGATCATGCACAAAGTTAAGAATTTAACATGTTTCTGTGTGTGCTTACATGCTGGTTTTTGATCAGAGACGAATACTGTATTCCGTTCTGAAGGGCTAATCTTTATGCCCTGATCCCTTCGAAGGGGTTTTCCTCCAGAGTGAGAGCTTCAGAGGACAGAAGGGTGTGGGGACCAAAAAACTAAGGAGGGGCTCATCCGAAATTCTTCTTTACGAAGGGGCCTTTGAAGTGGCTAGTTTTGAGCACTTCAGTTTGTAACGACCCTTCAGTATTGCAGCTATGATTGTTATCACTTCAATCCTCTTCTGAGGATTTATTTAATTTGGAACGCAGAATTCTTCTTCTTCGTTAAGTTTTAACAGCATCTTGCATTCTTTTAATGTTGCATTTACTGCCATCTTCTAAGTTACAAAGTAGCATGCTGTCCCCCAATCAACCTACTTATACTATGCCCTAAAAGTATGCACTCTTTCACAATGTTTTTGCAGATGAAATATAACACAGATAACAATAAATGAATATTTTTTCATCAGGTTCGATATCTCATGTTTAAAAAAAAAATTACACATAATTTATGTAATTGTCACTGAAAACTAGGACGTTTTCCCCAACTCTGTCCTACTCAAAGTTCAAATTAGTGTGTCCTGAATTGTAGTACATAATATCCCAAAAGTACCCAGATAATTTACCATTTCAGGTGAAAATTCTAAGCGCAGATCCATGAACAAACATGCCCCCACTCTGACAAATCAATTTTCTTTATACGTTTACAGCCAAATCAGAGTACACGTAGTTTTAGATTATGGATTTAGATTATAAGACAAGCTAATATAACAGTAGAAAAATATGAGTATTTATTAATGAACCAAGCTGAAAATCAAATCATTTAAAAAATATTGTTAGCTGATGCTAACTAGCTAGCTAACTATAGCTGATGCTAATTTGAGGTAATTTTCTTAAAACAAAAGATGTGATCTTCAGAAAGGAATAACTGCAGTAATATGATAGTGGGAGCGATGCCGCTTGGGGTTGTTTTTACACCACAGACTAGTTTTGGGGGAAAAAATACATAAAATTATGTAATTCTGAAAATATGATTATATTTTCCTTAAATAACTACCGGCCTAATATTCTTAAATCACATATAACTGTGATGTTCTGTGATGTTTTAAGCTTTAAAACACTTTTTTCTTACTGCTGAAAATTAGATCACTTATACTGTGAAATCCGTTTTCTCTCAAGAATGTCACCAGTGTAAGCTTCACAGTGAATACGTCTACATTACTCTTGTCAATGTGGTCCATAGCAACAACAAAACAAGTATCATGACAGTTTTTTTCCTTAGGCCATATTCCACCTGAACAATGCAATACGTTTCATCACTGTTCATCTTTAAACAGCACATTTGTACAGTATGGTATTTT